GCCGATATCGAATACGTTTTTAGGTTCTCCGTATGCGAGAGTACCTACTTTTATTTCTGCTTTGAATCCGTATTTGTTTGATTTATAAATTTGGTCTTTTCTATCGAAGACAGTGTCACTTTCGAATGGTAGATTGAAATAATACGATTTGTCCGTGACAATAGCTTCTAATTTGCTCAACTTTCTCTCTTGTCTCAAAAAATCGTCATGAATTCTAGATACCAAAAGATTGACCTGTTCTTTAATATAATTTTTCATATCATCTCGAAATTTATTTTGAAGAAAGTTTTTAATCACACCCACTTCTTTTTCTAATTCGTCCGTGATTTTAGTATCCAAAGCAGTCAATTGTCGTTTCAACGTATCTTTGTCAATGGGAATTGTGTTAATTATATCTTGAACATCTGATTTTTGCTTCGCGATCTTTTCGTTCAAATTGGATATCGAATTTTGTAACTCGGTTTTGTCCGCGGTCTTGTCTAGTTCTGCTAGCAATTCGCCAAGTTTTCTTTCCAAAGCGGTTAGTTTTCGTTTCAATCTATCCTCGTTTACATTTGGGTTGTCTATTAAACGTTGGACGTCTATTTTTACCTTCGTAATCTTATCGTCTAATTTAGATATCAACTCACTTGTTTTATCCACTTGAAAAAGACGTTTCAAACTCGTTAACTCTTGTTGTAGTTTGGGTTCGTCCACAAGATTTTTAATATTTCGTCTGATGAATCTTTTCACGTCAGTTATTCTATTTTCAACATGGTCCTTATCTATTTGAATTGCGTTTATTTGATCCGGTAAATATTTCTTGTTCACGGCATCATTATCGTTTCCTGGAAACTTTAATTTAGTTATTTTGAAATTGTTCATATCGATATCCCCTTGTAAGGTGTCTCCGATTTGATCCACGAAAAAAGGTTTCGCTTTGTTTATAAACGTCGTCATGGGATTTTTAGATTCTAGAGGTAAAGACCCTAATCCAAACTTGTTTGCCATTTTTATTGAGTTAAATTTATTATAATTTCTTCAAACTTTTCTCCTAAACTCAACCGATATAAAACCCAAAGCGACAGCTGACCACACAGCTTTTGTCCTGGCATTTGAATTTGAAACGTAGAACATTTGATTGGTTTGCTAGTCATTTTCGTTATCTCTTCTGTCGGTTCTAGACCGAAAGAATCAAAGAAATAAAAGTTATTCGAAGAATCTTTGTGAAAAGCAGAGTGATGAACTCCTTTTTGATCCGACGTGTGAATGTTTGTGATGGCGTAAAATTTACCTTTCTTGTATTTCAGTTCATCAATTTCATCTCGCATGCAATAATAAAACGGCGAGACGTTCAACTCCTTGGCCCATTTCACAAGTTGAAAATTTGTGGTCGTGTCTTTTCCGTATTTATCGAGAAACGCATTCATTTTTTAAGTTGATTTTTTTTTAGGTGTTTTTCGAAGTAGGCGGAAAGTATTGCTGAAGACCCAATTGACGAAATATATACGTAGTTTGTGTTTGAAAAAACTTGTATAACATTCTGATAAAACACATTCAATAATATTTTGAAGATAAATTTACATTTAAATTTAAAAAATCTTAATTTAAGAGAGCGTAAATGCTTGTCGACATCTAAATTTCTTAACCTTTCATCTAAATCTTCATTTTCGAGATTCATTTTTAAAAGTCAGTTTTTTGAAGTTCATTTTGATAAAACCTTCCTATGATTTGTTCTTTGTCTTGATCGATCAATTCATACGTGGGAGGTGATGTGTTGTTTACATTATCAACGATGAATATCTCGTTAGTCCAATAGCCGACGTAACCTTTCTGAAACAATGATTTATATTTAAAAATACGAACTCGATCTCCAACTTTGAATTTGGGTTTAATATTCAAATTGCTAATCTCGTTTTCAAAGTTGTTTCGAGTGTTGACGGACTTTATGATATTCGGGTTATTAGAGGCTTGCGATGGCGTCACACCTATAGACGAATGTATTTTGTTATTGTATTCGTCGACAACAACTGGTAATATTTCAAGCCATTTTTGAGATTTCAATTCCGTGAATTTCTTGAATAATTTGCTTTTAAGAGTCCTGTTGAATCTTTCTATCACTACGGCTTTACCTTCGTTATGCGTGCTGTAAATTTCAAACCCCAGAGATTTCACATTTCTGTTGTAGAATTCGCTTCCTTTATCAACCCACAACTTTAGGGGTCGTCTGTCGGATTGTTTCATTATGGTTTCGAATGCTTGTTTGACAGTCAGACCCGATTTGTTTTTCAAGGGAAAGACCCAAGCGTATCTCGTGTATATGTCGATCACCGTCAAACAATACTTGTACCCTCTCTCGACTGGCATGTTGATTAAATCGGCTGACCAAATTTCATCTTTATCAAAACTTTGACTTTGAGGTAATGTTTGTTTTTTCGAAATTCTTTGTGAATCTCGTCTGCTATGCCCATACCCAATTTCAATTTTGCCTTCAAGAGTTTTATGATAAGAGCCCTCTGTAATTTCTCTTTGAAAGTGGGATTGGGAATATTTTCGAGTTCGTCTATCATTTGTTTGTCTGCTTGGTGTCTGAATGTTACGTCTTTGTTTCTGTACAGTATGTCGTGTTTGAGCGTTGCTGCGTCAACTCTATTAACGGGTTCTTCCCCTGGTTTGGGATTATCATTTTCGTCTAAACGCAGATCTAATCTCGTGCCTGGACCTGTATAATTGTGCCCTGGGAGATGTTTTTCTCCGGGATATGGGAATCCAGGAAGAGAACCCAATGACTTTTGAATGTCTCCCGCACCGAAATACGTTTTAGGAGGATGGACATTTATTAAAGACATATATTTTTAATACGAAAGATTTAATACAAGGAGAAAATTTGTTGTTTGATACAAAATTGGCCACTTCGGGGATGAGAGATGTTAGAGCAGAGAAGAAACCGTCTCCTTCGAATTTTTTTTGTTTGTGTTTTAAAATTAAAGACATTTTTAATGCGGTTATTTTATACTGTATTATTATTAGTGATTCTTGTCTGTGTAATTTATATGGAGTCTGTTATAATACAGTTTGGAGGAGTTTGTTATAATACAGTTTGGGGAGTCTGTTATAATACATTTTAACAGTTGCGTCTTTTCGGATATGATGCATTGAAAAAGCTGCGCATGCGCAGAAGTGAAATGCGTCATATCCGAAAAGACATATACTACTACGGTGGCTTCCACAGAATACAGCAAAGGAGAAAAAGACAATTTGTTATCCAAGTGTTATGCTGACGGCTGTTCAGACAACAACCATACGAAAGAATTTCTGAAGATGATGCAATTGGTCTTATCGATTTCAAGAGAAACGGTCAACAATGGATCAAATTGTTCGACTTCAACATGACATGGCCGACCAACGCTTTTGATTTAGTCAGTGTTGATGTTTGCCTTTTTAACTTAATTAACGTGGCATTCGGGGTCGCATGTTCATGGATGAGAAACAACTCCGGAAAGTTTTAATGATATACAATATCCCTGTTATGGTCAGCGATTGTCTTCCAGCTGATGTAACCGATGAACGAGATTCTGCACATCAGTCCGAAATTCCGTTCCATCACGTCGTTCAGAGTATTTGATAGCAGGTGATGCTGATCAGATTAGCCACGCTGTCCTAGATAACATCCTCCCGCCCATAGAAGTACGTTTAGAACATGTGGCACAAAAGGTAGGAAGATAATTCAAGTGCTTGGCAATGTTATATACTGCACTAGCAAGCATCCACGAGGAAGGCATATAAAACGACCGTGTGTACTCTACTCTATGTGAACTTCTTTCGAAGGGAGTAAAGGATCACGAGGAATTCTATGGTCAATTTGTCCCTGGAGAAGTTGTAGTACTAGAAGAGATGCATCAAATACATATTTGAGAAAAACTATAATACTGATGCAGCTGATCTGGTGATTCAAGCTATCGGCAACGCATTGCCCATCAATATAATGATATATCATCATATTGATAGGTTTTACGCCAGGACGATGTTGTTCCAACTTGCACTAATGGTGTTCCAATTTGTCTACACTACAGGTTAGTTGGAACAACTTATTTTCCCATCGACGGTTCAGTATGTTTTAAGGGTTTAGTATTTGGAATATGTCTGCTGCTACTCTACTCTATGTGAACTTCTTTCGAAGGGAGTAAAGGATCACGAGGAATTCTATGGTCAATTTGTCCCTGGAGAAGTTGTAGTACTAGAAGAGATGCATCAAATACATATTTGAGAAAAACTATAATACTGATGCAGCTGATCTGGTGATTCAAGCTATCGGCAACGCATTGCCCATCAATATAATGATATATCGTAAGCAAGAAGATAAATTTATGTAACTGAAATAAACTTCTAGTCGAGGAACAGCAACAAATGATGAAATAGAACTTATTCGGACCGGTGTGAATCTCACTTCACATTATATTTGTGTAGTAAAGATCCAAAAACCAAAACTTCAATCTGAAGACAATCTGGGAGAGGATCATAATTTTGTCATTGCTGACAAACTTAGCTTGACGTCCAGAAATTTTCCTCTGAAAAGGTCAGACCATTTCCAAAGACGCCGTCAAACCAAATAAAACAGACCAATGGAAAACGACATCGAACAGCTACTCTGACGGACACACCGGTCAAGGAGGCACTTCAGAAAGAAAATGCTCCAGCTTCTGCTAGGGCAGTCAAAATAAAGTTGCTTTCAACACAGCGTGCTTTATGTTTCCCATTGAATCGCGTCCATTGCGATAACGTTGTGCAACTCATCTGCAAATAATAAATCTACAAAGAAACGACAGCCAGTATCATCCTCCTCTGAAGAGGAAGACGTAATCTGTATCGTCTGTACGTGGGGCCAGGGGAGGAGTGGACACATTGTGTCACCTGTAAGCATTTGGCTCATTGTGAATGCATCGACGATGATGCTATTTATATTTGTCACAACTGTAATTCCGATGACGATCTTGTATAGAGGTTCACAACAGTTCTGTGTTTTAATGTGATGTGCGAGTAGCACGTTTAATATATTTCTTCATAGTTTGTTTTGATTAGTATGATTTGGTGTATTCTGAACTCAGTAACGTTTCATGAACACTGATGTTAGTTCAAGGTTAATATATTGTTGTGTTTGATGTTAGAATAAATCATCATATTGATAGGTTTTACGTCAGGACGACGTTGTTCCGACTTGCACTAATGGTGTTCCAATTTGTCTACACTACAGGTTAGTTGGAACAACTTATTTTCCCATCGACGGTTCAATATGTTTTAAGGGTTTAGTATTTGGAATATGTCTGCTGCTGTACAATACATGTTTCCCTTACTTGTTAGTTGCGGTGCCAGAGACCCAAATTCAAAAACTGTTCCAACTTTCCCGGCTCTCCCCTATTAATAGTGTTTGACCAACATCAGGAGAGGTTGTTAAATACATCAAGTTTTTCTAACAAAAAAGTGTTTGTAGGATAATTATAATATATGGTGGATATTAATAGTTTTTAGATATTTAGTGTTTGGCCGATATCAGGAGAGGTTGATAAATAATGGAGTATTTAGTTGATAAAAATAGTGTTTGGTGGATAATTATAACATATGGTGGATATTAGTAGTTTTTTGGTAGATATTTAATATTTGGCCGATATCAGGAGAGGTCGATTAATACACGGGGTGTTTAGTCGATGAAAATAGTTTTTGGTGGATAATTATAACATATGGTGGATATCAATAGTTTTTTGGTAGATATTTAATATTTGGCCGATATCAGGAGAGGTTGATAAGAAATACATGGAGTGTTTAGTTGATACGATAGTGTTTGGCGGGTAATTATAATATGGTGGATATTAATAGTTTGTTGGTCGATATTTAGTGTTTGATCGATATCAGTAGAGGTCGATATATGGAGTGTTTAGTTGATAACAATAATATTTGGTGTATAATTAGTGTTAGATTTCGGGGAAGAAATATATATATATATAAAAACTATCATTTTATGCTTGAGGGAATTTCTCTTGAAGACTCTTATAGTGGACATGAACTATCTTGCTTGTTCGATTACTGGTTGTGTTGAACAAAGGGTGCTATTCCCCCATTATGGTGTATATTGTGTCCTATAGGTCTTGCTCAATCTTGTCTCAATCCAATGGGCTTCCTTAGGAATTTAGAAACAGGCTTCACTTTCTTTAATTTGATATCTGATCTGTGAGCATTAAAACAAGTGTGTATAATATTCTTAGTTTCTTCCACATATTTTTGGGGACATTTCTTACATGAAATTAAATATATTACATTCGAGTTTTCACATGTTAGATGCTCCTGGATCGGGTACCTTTTATTTGTAAAGTTATTTAAAAAATATACAGTTTCTGATATAAAGGGACATGTTTTGCATCTACTTGACAAACATGGAGCACTCCTTAAACCTAGAGGTACTTCGGCATAAAATCTGTTTTTAGCTGCTATCTGCACACTCTTTCTTTCAGTTTTGAGAAAACAATCGTACAGGCTTGGTCGAAATCAGAAGATCTTGTGCAAATTCGATGAAATCGTAAAACTAAATTATACCAGAAAAAGTATGTTTTGGGTGAAATGAGTTCTTGTGCAGGAGTTGATGACTATCAGTTTCTTTAAAATATACCTTAATATCCAGATTATTCGTCTCTTCTATGGAATCTCCTTTAAAGACAGTGGTATCAAGAAAGTCTATGCTTTTGTGACGTTAGTGGTAAGTTTGATGGACGGATGTTGTTTGTTGAGAATTTCAAAGAATTCCCAAAACTGTTCGATAAAATAAGTCCAAACCATTAAAATGTCATCCAAAAACGTCATGCACCCGATTTTGTTTGTATAAGCCTACCATGATTACACTGCAGTACACTATCAATATATTTGGCCTAAATAAATGACTTGCATAATATATTCTTATCACTTATAAAGGGGAGTTGTAATAGGCTTACATAGAGTTTATAACATAGCTGATAAAACTGATTTCTATAAGGTATTTACAGCCTTCTCATTTCTAATGATGTGATACATGAAAAAACTGACCGTATTGTGAATTGGTACTGTCTGGAAGGCTAAATCCATGAAACCTTGGTTGTTGTCAAATCAGGCTGACACATACAATGGCCAAATAAAAAACACTGAAGTCAATGATAGATAGGCTACTAATTCATCCGATCTATTTTTCATGTAGTCCACCACCACCGATAAAATCGAGACATTAAAGGGATTGAAAGAGATTTTCTAAATTGTTTATGTGTGTAGCCTATCGGTGACACTGATAACATCAATTTGCACAATTCCAATTGTCAATCAGATATGTCAAGTGTTGGATGACATCACTATCGCCAAAGGCCAATGTGTGAGAAGGCATATTTTGCGATGAGTGACGTCATCAAACACTTAGATTTAGTGGAATTGCAGGAACCACAAACGTCTGATTGAAAATTGGTATGGTGAAAATTAATGCTCAGTATTCCCGATACACAATTTTTTTTATTAAGAAAACCTCTTCACAATCCCTTTAAATATATAACAATAAGTAGGCCTAACAGGTATCTTTGTGCGACTATCGCCCTATATGTGGAGCGGGAACACTGATATCATCAATTTGTACCATTACAAGTCAGACGTCTGTGGTTCCCGCAGTTCCTCAAAAAATAAGTGTTTGATGACGTCACTAATTACCAAAAAACCTATTTAACATCACATGCACATAAGGCCCTCGAGAATAGTGACGTCATCAAACACTTGGTTTTAGTGGAATTGCAGGAACCACAGACCTCTGTTGCAAATTGAAATAGAATTAGAAATAGTAGAAATACAAATTTCAGAAAACCTCCTTACCTTTAACACGATGTAATATCGTAATCTGCTTTGTCGTTTGAAGGTCGGTATCTCTGTAATTTATCCATGTCCATTGCAACAAAAGTCCATAACTAATATATATATGGATTAAGCTGTACATAACGCAGATGTTTTAAAATATTGTTCATGGATCATTATGTTTTAATTAATCAATACCCATTGTATAAATTATGCAAATAAGTAGGCTCCATAGTATAATACCTATATCCACTAATGCCTACATCTACTAATGCCTACAAAATAGTAAAGCAGTGTGTAATAATGCCTACACAATAAAAACAACATACCTATGTCATGTTAGCAATGAACTCTTATATTAGAGTTCATTTTAAAATATAAATGTAAGTTATTAAAGTAAATAGTTTGCAAAGGAATCGGTTGGAGTATTCTATATAATATATCTTCTGATATACGCTGTAGCTCAAACAAATTTGATTGATCAAACCTGCTGGTATGTCTAATATCCCAGATGGTCACAGTGCCAATTGATGTTTAGGCACTATAGAGGCCTAGGCTAGACTAGTGTCTAGAAGGTAAAATGATGTAGGGCCTATCAACTATTAGGCTATATAGTTCGATCGTCAGTTGCTGCTAATTACTTTATAAAAGCATCCGGTGGAAATATGTAGTTTTTTTTTTTACAATCATAGTTGGTGGTAAATAATTGTAATTATCAACTGCAATTGTTAAAAAAAAGCTACATATTTCAATTGACTCTTTTATAAAGTAGGCCTAATTAGCCTAGCGGCTACTAACGAACTATTTTAGCGCTTTAACTAAAGAATGGCCGGAGTGCATTTATAACACAACCGAATAACAATTCTTACCTCTTTCAAGGTTTAATATTTCCAAAACTTAGGTCTAATGTAATTTTATTATGCAACAAGATTCTGCTGCAGCCCTAAATACTTTGCCCTCGTTATTCTGCTGGTGGCTACTAGCTGGGGTCCATTGAAATACCATCTGTCTTATTAATTTTTCCATTTACATTACTATTCTGGAAAGTGCTTAAAATCCAGACATTCTGCAAAAAAATGAAATAAATAATAAAACCACCATAAGCTTTAAATTATAGTTGCTAAAAAGTAACTTGAGTTAATAATTTTGGTTATAATTTATTATTTGACATTTCGGTAAATTAGTTTTCATTACGGTAAATAGACAACCCATTTATTTCCGTTGTAGGCCTAATAAACATGGCGGCTACAGAGAAAACATTTCCTAATAATGAAAATTGGATGGGTGAAATTCCAGTCAATTTACATGAAACTCCATTAAACCAATTAGCAATTCCAGGTGAGTTACTACCTTTATTTGTATCCTATAAGTTCTCACTGTCATACACTCGCTGAATTTACAGTGTAATAACATTAATTTATAGAAAGGGGCGTGGTTATCACAGGGACTAGATTTGTTCTCGTCTTCAAGATGTTCTTTTTATACACCCACATGAAATGGGGCGCGAAATTGCCGTCACCAATGTCCGTCCGTCCACAATTGCTCGCACAATTCTTGACTGATTTTGACACAACTTGATATGATTGTAATCACCCAAGGGTGAACCCTACTGAAAATCAGAGGAATCGAAAAATATTCAGTATGAGTTATTGCCCTTGTTCTTGAAATGCTCAAAAACACTCTAGAAGGTGCAATTCTTGGCAAATTTTGATCAAATTAGGTGTGAGTGTTTATCACCCAAGGATGAACCCTATTGAAAATCAGAAGAATCAATTTTTAGCTTTTTATGCAGATGTTCTGACGATTTTTGATAAAAATGGGTTTATATTATTTTTGTAGATACTTGAGTAATAGCCTATTTTCAAAGTAAAAAGTGTTTTTTTATTTTTTCCATCAAACCTATGGCATTATTTTAATGAGAATTGGACTTGCAGCTGCACAAACAGTACTATTTGCTCTGCTCAGACTTAAAGTATTTACTTGACTCATTTTCTATACATAATGACATCTGTAGGAATATTTTGTTATTACAACAGGAACTTGAGAAGTGCGGTGAACCCCCCCCACCCGCCCCCAAGTCAACCTGAGGTTAGTTCTACTTCTTCTTCAATTTTATTTCAGGTTCACATGATTCAGCATCTTTTGAATTTGATAAAAATGGTGGAGTTGGGCCAGATGCTGCTCAGATTGTCAAACAACTAGAAAAGTTATTTGGTCCATTTATTAAAGATGTATTATATCGCTGGGCTAAAACACAGAATATGAATTTTACCCAACAATTAACGGCTGGCATCCGTTACTTTGATTTTCGTGTATCTACGAGACAGGGTTATCAAGATCTTTATTTTCTTCACAGTTTATATGCCGATAAAGTAGAGAAAGGACTTCATGATATTGATATATTTCTTGATTCCCATCCTAAAGAAATAGTTATACTTGATTTTAACCACTTGTATGCCATGGGAGCATTTCAACATAAACAGCTAATTTCAATGATACTGGAAATATTTGGGTACAAAGTATGTCCATTAGTAGATATGAATAGTTTAAATCTGAATATGATGTGGGAAAATAAACTTCAGGTAATTGTTATATATCACGACCCAGTAGCTTTAGAAAATCATATGATATGGCCAGGAAGTTGTATTCGAGCCCCATGGGCTAACACTGTTGATGTTCAATACTTATTACAATATTTAGATAATGTGTACACTTCAGGACATAGTAATAATATCTTTCTGTCCTATCAAGGAATATTAACAGCTAGTACTAAGTTTGTGATAGAACATATATTAGGTAGTTTAGAGAAAGAGTTATCTGATAAAGCCACACCAGCCATTGTGCAATGGTTAGCTGATAAACAGATAGGACCAAACAATCTTAATATATGTATTACTGATGTCACAGATCAGTATGATTTTATATCTACTATTATCAGTAAAAATAAGTAGTCTATCAAAGTTGATAGAATATAAAGTGTTTGACTTGATGCAAAAAGTTGTGCTCAGACTAACTCTCAACATTTCCAATCTGGATTTGGCTATGCAATTATTGCAAGATACAGCTTTTAATGTCAATTGAATCAAAAACTACTGGTATCTCTGAATAAGAGAGTATTAAACCTAAAAATAACTGAAACATATTTCTCTCAATAGTCATTCCAAACCATACTGTACTTTTATAGGCCCACATTGGAGTGTATATGGTGTCACCAATGTCCATCCGTCCACAATTACTTATATATACTTTAAAAGGATCAATTCTCCACAGATTTTGATGAAATTTTTTGGAAATAGGAATTCTTTTATTTCTATGATCTTTTGTAATTGAGTTTAGCTACTGATTTGCTTGGAGATTTTTTAAGAAAAGCCTAACCTCTATATGTCAAGGAGTTAAAAGGCATTGTTAGTGCACCCTTGTTTGTATACTGTGGTATTGCTCAAGATGTGCGATAATTGATATTTCATCTATTTGTTTTATTTTCTATATAACTTATACAGTTGTTATTATAAAACTATTTTGGCGTCTGCCATCAATAAAATTGTCTATTAAAACATCTATCTATATATTTTATTCAGCTTGTGACCCTTTTTAGACTAATCTAAATATTACAACAAAGTAATATGTTGCTCCATGATATGAGATATAAGTAACCATATTATAGGCTACAGGACAAACCCACAATGTTCCTCATCATGGGCAGTCAACTACCAATTCTGAAGGTTACCAATGAAAACATTAAGCTGTTAATACCCAATCATTGTATATCGTTCCATCTAGAAATAAATAGCAAATTTGAGAAATCTTTTCAGATAGAATTACCCCTTTAAGTTTACGTTTACTTCTGCAGCAATATAGTAATCTCTAGAACTACATCACTCAGAATATTTCCTCATTGTGAAAACACTTTATTTAATGTGGCAAATTGAAAAAGACAAAGGTTTCATTGATTCTTTATTTAAAAAGGCGATAAACCTGAGAAAATAGAAAGTTATTCTATGAATATATAAATAATATGATATCTAACAATGATATTCTACATTTAAACAAAAACTTAATTAACAGTAGGCCAATAAGTAAACAACCAGTAGACCCTTTAAGCCTACAATTTTCCCTCCAAATTTTCAAGATTTGGAATTTGGTAAATAGTGCAAGAAGTGTAGGAATTCTCTACATTTTCAATGTTGGACTGAAATCACATGACATTTTTTTTATTTCCCATTATAAGAAAACCAATTTGGCAAAATAGGTTAGTTTTCTACACAAAATCTTTTCTAAACCTTGAAACACTAAACAATATAGCTTCGATTTTATTAGCTTTTTCATATCCTATATAATTGTAATCAATATTAACAAAACATATTATCAAAACAGTTAGATAATGTTTTCTGAGATTCTCCTGTACCATGATGCTATTAAGCTTTTATCATTTTATGTTTTGTGTTCATGTCTTATTGGTAAATAACAGTAAATTTATACTATTAATCTATAATTATAATGAACAATAGAATACAATGTCAGTTTAAACTAATGTTGGTGGTTGAGGTGTGTTCTGATCATCTAACCATGCTAATACTTCATCACTAAATCCATCAACTAGAGATTGTGGTGCTGTAAAACTACTAGTACTTTCACTGGATGGTAAACTTGTAACATCTTTATCTTGTCTGGATGATACTGGGCTGAAATTAATAATTATAACTGCTTAGCATTACTTTCCTGATATTAAAATATATTTTTCAAGAGATGTATTTATCAGATTTATTTCATCAAAATTACAGAATTAATGATGTTAACATTTTTTTCAGTTTTATTTTATCATGTTAGTCAAAATACTTTATTTAGAAGTAATATATACATTTCATGCTTAAATATGAAAAAAATTCTAAATTTCAAGATACAAAATTAAGAATTTGAAAGAAAATAAATAAAAATGTTTTATTAAAGATTTAGTAATATACAATACCTTCAATCAGACTTGTTATTGGAAAAAATATAAAAGATTGCGCAAACACTTTCAAAATGATCAAAATATCTATTACCATGAGGAAATCAATCAGTATTCAGGGGGGAAATGCCACAGTGGGTAGGTGTTTGTTGATGAGGCTTGGAATAGCACAAAAAGCAGGGGGTCAGGTAGATGGAGTCCTACCATTGTGAACAGCAAAGCAACTAATGCTACTTATAGGCAAAAGCAAAAATTGATGTTTAATTCTGATTATTTATTCAATTCACTGTATAAAAACTGATTGTAGTCGAATATCCCTGAATTTTATTAACAAGAGTTCTCTCCCTTTCGACACATTTCTTCTCTACAATGTCTACTGTCAAGTTTGTCACTTTCATAAAAAAAACATGAAAATGATGTCACTACATTTAACGAGTGCAAATAAAAGATAGAAAGGCTATGAACAATTAGAAAATAAAAAATACACAATTATAATGTAAGTTTACAATAAAATAATGGTATACAGTCAAACAAAAATAATATAGAAAAGAAACTAAATAAAAGCACTGAAAAAATAAAAAATTATAAACAATTAACTTCATTGTAATGTAAAAAAAAAATTTGTAGTTCATGCCTTTTAAGTAACAGATTTAACAACAAAATTCTAAAACACACTATAGAATGATCTGAATGAATCCAGATAAAAATAAATGAATTTAATGCGTTTCCAGATTTCCAGGGATGTGAAAAAACAATTCAGAAAACAAATAATTTACTTTTAAAATGATAAGCAAAATAAAAACACCACTTATACCACATAAAAAGCAGGTAGAAAACATGATGAATTACTTTCATTCAGTATGACTTGAAGCTGAAGATGTCAAATTGTAGTTTTAAATGTTATGATGTATGAACCATGCATTTCAATGACATGCATTTCAATGCAACAAAACACAAATAAGCTGCAAAAATATGTCATGCTTAATATGAATAAATATTTCATAAATTGATTCACACTTGTGGTTAAAAGTTAATAACTTCATTTCAAAAAACTCTAAAATTCACAGAAGCTGTCACTTAAAATTCTTCCAAAATTTTGAGTTAAACAACATTCAAAACTAGAATTTCACAGGATGAAAACTTTTTGCCTACTGAATGAAAGCTACCAGTCATCACAGGGTGGTTGATCTCACCTTGGACTGGCAGATGTGGAATACATATTTTTAACTGGTTGACAAGTCATAGGTCGGGGAGCTTGATAAGTACTATGTTTCGGTGCTCCACTTTCAATATGTTGAGACTTATACACAGTTTTAGTAGCATACTGAATTCCTGGTGCTTTCACTGAATGATAAGTTGTTGATGTAGAGATATCAGGACTAGCTGGTCCTGGTGAGTAAGCTTGTTGATAATCACCACGATAGTTTGCATGAGTTGTACTGCGATATGGACTACCAGGTTGGCTTGTTTGACTAGTATTAGAGGCGTAATCACCATCTGAAGATTGTGATGGTGTACTACAGCGTGATAATCTATCCACACCTATCAATTGTTTTTGATAAACATCCACTTGACGCTGTCGACGTAAGCGTTCACTATATTTATAAAAGTCTGATAATTCATATGGTTTGGAAACTTCTGTATGTGGTTGAAATTGTTTGACAGTCACTAATTTACTAGCTGATGGCTGAGATTCAATTCTTTTTACATTAATACTACTAGAACTTACATTGTGTTCATATGTTGGTGAATATGCTCGTCGTTCAGATCTGGAATATGAACTTTCGTATGTACGAGGACTATAACTTTGTTCGTTGACATGTTCACGTAAAACATGATCAGTATATTCTTTACGTGGACTTGTAGGTGGAAGAGGAGATAAATCTTGACTGGTAAATGAATCACCATACAGAAATTGTTTAGTTGTATAGTAATGACTTTCATCAGTTTCATGATGAACTGGAACTTCTACGCAATGACTGGTATTTGGTGTGGGTGTTTCTGGATCACTATATTCTGATCCTGATTCACGTTTTCCTCCGTAATGTGATCTTGGATCATTATAATGCCCACTATTATTACTATAGTCCTTTTTCTTATTCCTATTACGTTCTAAACTTCCATAACTATTGCCACTCTTGTTAGTTTTTTTACGATAAGCACCTTCCAAACTACCATGTTTAGTAGTCAATGTTTTATCATATGTACCATGCACTGGTGATTTTAGTCTATCGGTACTATCATAATGACTCTTCTGTTGGGAGGTAATATTATACATGTTATTAGCAGAACTAAATCCACTATCCAAACTACCCTCTAATCTTCCACCAGATCTCATATTATCATATTCAGACTGATTACTCGATGATGATTGGCTACGATTTGTTAACGTTGGATACATTTGACTTCTATATGATGTTTTAGTTGTATAAACATTACTGGGTTGATATCCACTGCCTGCAGTTAACTGTGGACTGAAAATAAACAAGATATTTCAATATGTCATGAAAATAGAGCACAATATATTATTAACCATACTTGTGTACATTCTGAAGACATAATCAAACATAAAATAGAATAGTCTATTTCTATTTGAGGTAGAACCAAAGATAATTGAATCTTTACGAGCCAGACCCATTTCTTTGCTATTTTGTCTTGATATAAAGTGACTGTTATTTTGAATTATATCCAATTGTGCAGAAATATCCTTGCTTGATTAGGTAATTGTTTTATAAGGATAACATGAATTCTTACCTGCTGTGACTAGGACTCAGAGCTATTAGATGATTTGGAACTACATGGTTTTCTAAATGAGAATGGGAATGGGGGTGGCTAGTTTGGAATGCTTGAGGTCTGGTAGCCCTAGACTGATGATGTTGTTGGTTTTGTTCATGTTCTGGTTGACGATGGTGTTGTCTTTGGTGGTGAGGCCCATCTCCCTAAAATAACAGGAAAGTCTAGGAATATCTTAAATAACCAAAAATATGATATCTAACTGATTTAGTTATCTGAATATTTACTTTCTTAATTTCTAGAAAGAATTTAATTGAGAATTCTTCCAAATACTAAAAAAATGTGTCAAAATTTTTAATTCCATGGGTTATTTTTGTATCATAGAATTATGAATATGAATATTCATTGCAGAGATCGATTATTACAGTTTAATTTGGGTATGTTATGACCTTACAACAGGTACACTAGAGGAAACTTCTCTCCATCATCATATCAGTCAATCCAGCTAGTACTGAACCTAAAAGAATTTTAATCATTGTACGAAGGAGTTGCCAGCAGATAGCAAATCCTCATTGCTATCTAAAAAAATAGACTTGTTGGTTTATCAGTTATGGTAAATGAACAATTTTTAAGCTTTTCTACAATGAGTAAATTATATTACCTGTACATGTTGTTGTCTGTTAGAAACTGCTCTATATACAGGTGGGGATGTAGCAGGTGATATTGGTGAAAACATTTCATTTTCTACAAAATATCAACATCATTTGTTTATTAATGGATATCTCTTTTCTTTTTTGATACTTTAAATTCTCAGCAGGTTCTGATTTGTCATAACATATACATATATGCTTCAATTTCAAATAAAAAAGGAATGAAGTAAAATTAATTCTTATTTTCAGAAAAGATTGTGAAGATTAGATCAAACGTGGTTTATAATATAAGGAATAACTCGTTTTCCTTCCATCTCCTACACTCAATTTTAGAAAGAGTACAACACTTTAAGAAACTTGTTATAGAATGTATATACATGTGATAGTTAACCATGACTCAAAGTCAGGTTCATTTAAGCCAAAATTAGATTCTGTAAGTTACTTGAACACATAATCACAAATTTGTATAAGAAATCAGCATGCATATTAACTTAACCATCTTCACAGTGTCAAGCTATCATAAACTATATCTAATACCTTAATTTCTGTGAAACAAAGACATCTACTTAATACCTTGATATTGTGAAGATAATAACCTCCACGAAAAAAAAGGAAAAGCCATGCTACAATATATCTTTTCTGAACTCAGATGACCTTGAATGTATCCAATAAAAACATACAGAGGTTGAGGAGTCTTTCTGTGTCCCCCCCATCCATTACAATTCTAGCATATACTGACCAAAAAGAAATGACATGCAATGAGAGAAAGAGAACTAACCACTATCAGTATTGTGTTCACTCTCCTCTATTAGTAAAGCTAGTGAAAGAAGACAGAAAAGTGAAAGTAAAGAGTGTTTTATTAACAAAAATAGATCAAGATATGAAATAATACATCTAGAAAACAATACAAAGAAAATTCCATTTCGTGAAAAAAAAAACAATAACTGGAGAGTAAGCAAACAATCACAACTCATTAATTTAAAAATGAAAAGGTAAAACAAGGCTTGAACATTTTTTTTAAGTTTTGAATAAGAGATTCTAGATATAAATTATCAAAACTATTCATCAAGCAATATAATTTTAGTTTTATTTTACTGTCATGTCATATCAATATTGAAAAAATATAATATATTTAAGTAAGTGAAGGAATAAAATTAATAAAAATGGATTCAAGGATATAATAAGCATAAAAGATCAATAAATATCTGAGTATTTAAGTTTCATAGCATCTAAAACTGTTTTAAAACACATTGTCATATCACAAAATCATAATGTTTACATTTCACACACGACTTTCTTTAGTAGGATCAAAGGCACAAACAGTACTGAAAGCAGATGGATGCCAAGAGGCCCGGGAGACATGTAAATCTTCTTCTAGAACACTGTCTCTAACTGACCAATCATACACAGAGTGAGCTAGTCTGGGTCGAGTGTGGATGGTACCAGGTTCACGGAATGACTGAGCAGTAAGACGTCTACGTCTATCGCGTCTGACAGCAACACTACCTGTATCACTAGTAACAAATAAAGATTCTTCACTACGTGGTCTATAGAGATTACTATTATACATACCATTATAACCAGGTGTAGATTGTATAACTCTGCTACTTAATCCTAGATTTCTTCTCATATCACTTAATTTCTTCTCCATATCCTTTAACTACAATATCAATTATATATCTAATAATTTCAATGTATCGCAAAACATACATGACATCATACATGACCACATAAGGTTACATAAATGATATAAATATTTTAATAATAATGATATCAGATCACTTCTGCTGGTGTCATAATCATCTAAACTATATATAGGTTGATAAGAAAGGAAAATCTTACCTTATTGAGAGCTCTAGTATAGGCCTGTCGCCGTTGTTTACGTACAGATTTACCAACTGCCTTATCTTGTGACAGTTTAAAGGCTGCAGCAGTAATTTTACTTTGTAATTCATATTCTAGTTCTAACTTAGCTATGATATCTTCTCTCTGTAATGCAAATATTAGAAACCAGAATTATATAAAGGCAAATACCACTACCGAAACTTTCTTTTTTTGAAAACATTGATAAATTAAAACAGTATTTTGCTATCAATCAACACCAAAAAAACCAAGATTACTCGGAGTAGACTTACAAAAACTTCCCTATCTACATTGATTAAAAATCACACAATATTGAGTATTTACTGACCTCATTTCCACTCTCTTGAAGATTTTTAGTTAAGGAGAATGATGTACCAACACGACGTCTAAATGCTGGTGCTTTCTCTCCTGGTTCTAATGGAGTATCTGCTGGTAATTCTCCTGTTAGTTCCTGTTATAACATAATTACAAATTAAAAAACATAAACACTAATTAATGTAAAAATATGTAAGTTTTCTATACAAAGAAGACAACCATTTTTGACACACAATGGTTGAAATATTTAGTTCAATGTATGGTTTTGATTGGAGTATATTAGATTATACTGGTTTAATGAAAGGAGAGTGATAGTTTAAAAAGGAATAATTTAACTTACCCCTTCCTGGAAACACAAATTCTTTAAATCTTCTGTTTTTCTACGTAGGGCTTCCTCCAAGGCCTCCTTACGGGCCTTGAGGGCCTGGTACATTTCGCGTTGGGCCTTCAGCGTGTCGGCTTGCTCAATATTCACTAGAAAAATAAGATAGAAATGTAGTAATTAATAATTAAATATTACATAATAATTAACAATGTTTTAATTACTAGCATAAAAATCAACTGCTACTCATTCAAAATGATAGATATTATTTTTTAAATCAAAGGATCAGTCAAAATGATGATATATTCCATCTTTATGAAGTATCATTACTGATAATTTAGTATAAATATATTTCAAATTATCATGAAAACATCCAATACATCGGTAACAAACAAATATCATATTGGGTATGGAATTGTTGAATCATAATTCCATATTCAACAAAATAAACAATAACACACCCATAACACATCCAAATCAATTATACAACATACTGACTAAATCATAAACATATTCCCTTAACCCATCTCTAACCTAACTCAACCAAGAATGTCATTGCAATGCTCTGGTGATAGTGGAAGAAAAACTGCCTCATTAAACTTTTCCATCAGATCATGTAAAAGGAAAAAATCAATAAATTGTGAGAGGTTTTATGACCATTCAATTTGGTAGCAGACAGAATTAACTCCTTTCAATTAAATATCTTTCACTGGTAGCTCATACACACACACCAGTCGACATGTTACAATATTTTACTAATGTTTTAATTATGACTTGACAGGGACTATCCAATTTATTTTACCTTTTACAAACAGAATGTAAAATATACTACAAATAAGCCTTTAGGCATATTTCAACAATATATTCATTTGATGAATAGTAAACTTGTTCAGTATTTGAAATATCCTTGAATTTAGTTAGTCTTACCTAATAAATCAAAATTAACAAGTACAGACTTCTCAGCTAATAACTTTACACACATATCCATTTTATACTTTAAATACTCTTACATACACAGATATAGTAATAGGCCGTGATGATAGGAGAAGCTATGAGGGATCTAACACTGTAATGATTCAGGAGAAATACAGATAAACATTTTATACTGGGCCTTAATTAAGCAACATGTCTTCATTGAAACCACTCAGTATAACAATAGACAAACATCAAAAACTAATTAATCAATCTCTAAAGACCTTCAACCTGTTCTCACCTCTTTTTAATTAGATAACAATGAATTTTAATGGCTTCCATTGTGCTTTGATCAAATTTTAATCCAAAGATCAACAAAAAACTTAGTGGCTTCATTGAACTTCACTCACTTAATTAACACAATATAACACTGCCAACTCTTTTGTTTTTACCTTGTTTGTTAATCCTACTAATCTAGTTAATCCAGTAGGCTTGTTATTATCACTCAAACTGTTAATCTCTGTCAATATTTGACACCACTGATAATTCCTTGAATAGGATAGATACCAATCAAATATGAAATATTGAAATATCTATTGCATGACATGAACACTTACAATCAAATCTGGATGAAGTTAAGCTAGGTAAACTTTGTGAACTAGTACTACGACTAATATCAGAACCAATGGAACCTGGTAAGGATGTGGTACTACGACATAAATCAGCAGCTATTTCACTCATAGACCTGGCACTTGGTAGATGAGACTGAAAATTAGTATATTCAAGATCAATAATTTCTTTAGCATTATCAATATCTTTTCTGAATATATTTTCTGTTGATAACTATTTTGAAACATTTTGGGTGACATCAATATCATCTGAAACAATATAGCATAGTCATAAAAGAAAATACAATGTAAAAATAATGAAACACACCTTGCTTTGTTTACGATCTAAATAAAATTGGTGTTGAGATACGGCCATAGACCAAATACATTTTGTGAGTTGTGGTGTAGCAGCAAACCACGCATGTACATTTACATTACCAGCACCAAACGTTCTTCGACTTACAGACACCCTGCAATGAATATTCATACATTATTAATTTAAAGTCTATTACTGAAAGACTGTAGCACATTTTTCAAAATGCACATTTACAATAAAAATGTATACATCTTGACAGCAATTATTAATTTCAAAATCAATCAATTGAAATTTTTTAAAACTTTTCACCAAACATTAAATGTATAATTATATATATTCCATTAACATATAAACTCCAAAAATTCTAAATTCTATAACATTCCACATCTGTAAACTTAACTTGTATTTTCATAATTTATATTTTTCCTGAATATCTGTTTCTATAATTATTTCTATTGTGTCTTTTTATAAATTCTTAAGAATAACAACATCAGATTTGAAATGGATTCAATTTCAATGAAAAAAATATCGACAAGTTTCTCCCTGCATAAAAATCTTTAATTTCCATTACATCCTATCAATACCAATAGAGCTATAAATCTAGTCAAATATTCTAGAGAAAATGTTATTTCTTGTGATTTTTCAATCTGCTCTATTTATTCCATATAGATATTTTAATCACTATATTTTAATAACTATAATCACTGACCATGTGTATACTAAATACAATGGGTTTGATTTTGATCAAACTTCTGTCTGCTACTAGTAAAGTAGAAATATGACTAGAGTATAAATTGGAATAAATGTCTGGTATACATGTTAAAGTTAGACTGACCCTCTACTATATAATACAATTTAGATTCATAACATGTTTTAGTGAGGAGAAAGAGTAAATAAATAATGATCTATTTTAGTTTAGAACAGGAGAAACAAGATCACCATCAAAACAACCTGTTAAAAACAATAAAAATATTGACAAGTACTATTTTAACCATATCCAAAATATCAACTTTATGCTTCAACAATAAATGATGGTTTTCCCAACCAAAGCTATCTATCGATATAAATTCTTGGAATTATTAAAAAAGCCCAAATAGATACAATCAGAAATACTTGTGTTAGATATTATAATGTAAAAGAATTCAGTACATACTGAAAAACGTCACTTGACTTAGAACATAAAGTATATTCAATATTTGTTATTATGTGACTTCCAACATCTCTGCATATCTTTGAGTATTGTTTATAATATTCATGATACTATATATATTAGATCTGAATTTAGATTAAAGATACCTAAATATATGAACTTATCAACAATTCAACAAATTTTAATCAAATGTTCATATTCTTTAATTTTTATTTAAAAAAATGCAACCATAATTTCATTTCATATACTGTTCTTTGATATTTATGACAGCAAACAAAAGATATTGTACAACATACTTCAAAATTCATTTTCCAGCTCAAAAATGCTAAAAATTGGTTTAGTCACAACATCCAATAAAAACATGCGAAAAATAACAAATATGACATGAAACAACAATGATAGAGAAATACTACAAAGAATCAACAATATCAACAAACCAAACATCAGTTGTAACAGTAAGACAGTGTAATAGAACACTAACAGTGTTAGAGTAAAGGAAGTGTTTCAATTATTAAATAGACAGGTGTCATCAGATGTAATAGTGAGTTTCATAATGAAATGAAATGAATGGAGTTTTACGTCCTACTCTTCCGCACCTAATAGGGCTAATGAAAACGGGTGATGCCGTGTAGTGTACAATGAGGGAGCATGAGCACCTTAGCTTTCTGCTTTTCGATTTCCAACTGTTGTTTATTGTCCAATTCCAACAACTGGACACTTTTTCCATGTCAGCCTCTCTGACGTGCATCTCTGGATATATGTCGGAATTGAACCCTGGACCTTCAGGTTAGCGAGCAAGCGTCAAACTCCCTGAGCCACTGCAGCTCCCAGTAAGTGACAGGATACATAATATATAATTATTACAAGTTTTCAATTGCCTGCAACAAAATCCATCCCTCATCTATATATTCTTTTCTATTTTGATAGTGACTTTGAGTGGATACACTTGTCAAACAAAAATACTGCATTAGAATTCTTGTCAGACAAATTTGGAATAGCGTACATACGAGAAAATGACAGGTCACCTTCTAATGATCATAGAAAGAAAGCAAGTCTGAGTAGAGGATGGATCGTGTAAAATAAATTGTTTATTCATTACCATGTAAAATAACATACTGTGAAAAAAGTTTTTCTAATGAGACTAACAATGAAAGCAGTATTTAAGGTCTGAAGCAATAATTAATAAAAGCAAGGAAATATGTAGCTACATGTATCAATGGTACTTACTGAGTTGTAGGATCAGATATAGCATCTGATAATGAATCAAAGCTTTGAGCTGGTTCTTTTATAGCATCCTCATATAAGTTGAAACTGCTTAATGTGTGAACAACACTAATACAGGCAAAAAAAAATAAGGAGAAAAATTGTTTTAGCTTAATGTTGAAAAAACTTGAAAAAATTGACTTCAAATATTGGTAAATCATGGATGTTAATTTGTATTTTCTCTTCTTAAGGTACATAATCTATATCACGGTACTTTAAGTTCACTTTCTAAAATCATTGATAATAAAACCATCATTAACTACCTAAAAGGACTTTTAATAGGTTTAAAATCTAATGCTTCAAGGGAAGTTAAATTAGGTAAAGGTGCTCTTAACTTTGTATTAAGTTTTGTTTAATATATTAAGTGTATGAAGATATATTGTGTAAATTATAAGTTGATTCCATTCTATCATATACAATAATTGAATTCATCATATGTTACAGTAAGATCTGTAATGGACTTATTAGATACGTGAAAGGATTATTCAATAACTTATGAAATATACTGAGAAATTGATCAAATATGCAGAAAATGCACACATGCAATTTTAATTATCTTGACTAATCTTATCCAGAAATCAGCGCTTAATAAAAGATTTTGGAGTTTAAAGAAGAAACAAATTACAATAAAGCAATGTTAATGATTATTCAACGAAAATGCAACACACAGAAGAAGCATGCAGATAGAAAGCAGATGATATGAATCTAATATTATTTATAATGAATGTTTTTTGATGTATATGTCTAAAAATCTACTTAAATACAAATTAACTTTGAAATAAATTGAACTTAAAATAAAGAAACAGAAAGCTAAAAGCACCTTTAATCAAGAAAATATAATGAAACAGAATAAAATGGAATGATTTTTGATGAAGATTTTCACTCTTTAAACTGCAATAAATTATTTTCTTAGAAATATTATTATATAGTTTGTAAATTGTATGTTTAGTAATTGTAGTTTATAATTGGCATAACTCCACAGTAATTACCAGGTTTCTATTTTGGTTCTACAATCTATTACCATGCCATAACATTTAAATTTCTATAAAACAACTCACCGTTTTGGATCATGAACTTCAATAGAAAACTTTTTATCACGATAATATAAATTCTCTAAAGATTTCCATAAAAATATCTACAATTGTAAAAAAAAATTCTGGATTTTATCAGGCAGAGAATCTAATGAAATAATGGTTGAGAGAATTTATTAATTATTGATCCAATTTTTAAAGAGACTCTATTACTTCTTAAAAACATGCTGACAATATTTAAATAGGAAAATATGAGTGTTCCAGATAGCCTTACAAGTCCATATTTCAAATTATTTAAAACAGAGACAGACTCACTATTAATCTACTTTTTCTCTCTTGAAGATGATACTCAATCAGAATTATATAAAAGGAAACATTTGTCAATGAACAGATACAAAAAATATTGAAATTTGATTTTTTTTCCATCTTCAAAGACCTCTGATGCAGGTTCAAACAGCTTTTTACTATAAATGAAATTTTCTGTCCCACTGATTAATGAAGACGGGCAAAGTCATGCAGTTTACATTGAGTTACAGGGCTTGTTTTTTGTCCATTTGAACAACAAAACACTTTTCCCATTTGAGACCTGTATTACAAGGTAAGCTAGCAAGCGTCTTAATAAGCCAATATGGCCACATTTTTTCAAGAAACTTCTACATTTATAAATACAGACAAGAGTTAGCAAGTGAGAATGCAGACAGTATTAATGATAAAGGTGGTGAATCCAAAACGGTTAAACAGAGATATTCATTCATGCCCCAGTAATAAACTATTTAAAATACATGGGTGATATAATGTAGGTGTGGTTTATTTATTACAATAGTTTACTCTGACAATATATCCCTATCATTTTTATCTCTATATATGTCATATATCTAGAGGTTCTAGTAATAGATATTTCAACAATAACACTATCTTTATCAAATTCAAACCTATTGAAATTATTTCATCTTATCTATCATCATTAATATTTTGGAAATGATTGTTCCTGATAGCTTCAAACTAGCAGGAGACGCCAAGAAATCTACCATTATTATTTCATATCGGGTCTTAAGTAATCCTTACTGAATTCCAATGAAAATGTCACAAACAGTCAAAATTTTTCACCAATAACTCCATTCTGAAATTGTATTTTACAAATGTTCCACAATGGCAATCAAGACTTTGAAATTATCAGACAAAATAATATAATCTGCTTTTGTTTAAAACACTTCGAATTTTGAAGCGAGCCATTAGGTAACCAAGTGATTGAATTATTTAACTTACCTTACGAGGTATTGATTTATCATTTTTATCAAATAGATAAATTCCTTTAGGACTAATACCTAACCACCACGGTATACTTTTCTTATCCTAAAACACGTAATAAGTAAAGTGTCTTATATCTTAATAGGTAAAATATAAAAAGGTGGCATCTTTGCTTAAATTCACACTCTTCTCAGGCATGACATTTTGTGATATTATGCTTATCAAAATCTTTTCTTATCTTTATATGCATATATTCAGCAATACAAGTATGTATACTGTATAAGAGTAAATTATAAGGACACATACCTTAACTTCATAACAATGTATACCATATGTAGGTACCTTCTCAACTATGGTCATATAACTGAAAGAGAGATATACATATGTACAACATATTATAGAAAATAAACAATTTAACATTATTGGGTAAATTCAGTAATTTTAGTCAGATGTTTTTGGCTTAGAGTAAAAATATTAACCCAAATTTGGAATTAAATGTGACAAAGGTATGGGTTATATTTCACTACCGGTACTTCAAATGAAGAAACTTTTCATTTTATTATAAATATCATTCCCGGTTTCTGAGACAGGTTTACATTTCTCTGTTTAACTTCCATTTGTTTCATATTGTTTTAATTCATTCTCAATCTTATAAAATATGCTCCATGTTAAAATGCTTAGTGAAATTGCAAGAACCACACACCACCTGACTGAAAATTGATCAGTGTCCTCATTACGTAACCTCTTTACAAGTATGATCTGTCTGTAAACATTTTCCAGATCCAAGATGAAATTTTCAAACCATATTTGTCTAGTTTGTAACTCTGTATATGTGTACAATGTTGTGATATAATAAACAACATGACATGTAACATGTGGTAGTTGATTATGATCTAACAATATGTTGTGTAACTATATTCTATTGATCAATATGTAGTTTCTATAAACAGTATCTAGATAAGCCTCCACATATATTAACTTATCAAAATCTCCTAGAAAACTGAGTCGATACATTGAATTTTAATAGACTTAGACATAGACTTAAATTCTGTCATAAATAAAAATCACAATTGTTGATCACCTAGATTTGCAAAAATTTGGATCTATATGTCAATAATCATTAATGATTCCATGTTATTGTGTTCTTAGTGAAGTAAAGAAAACCGCTAGATGCTACTTATCCTTGTTATCCTGTCTCACTGAAGACCTATTTATCTTACTTACGAATCCTAACTTTACTATCTTATCCAACACATAAAACCTAGTTCTAATCACAAGAATTTCACAGGTTAAATCATGTCTACCTCAGATTTACACTATAAAACGTGAGAGTTGAGTTTTTATAATGAAATTCTCCTATCTTATTTACTTCAGGCTGTGTGTAATATCTCTTAGATTACAGCCAAGATGACCTTTCATTAGTCAAAATAAATAGACAAACCCTCTAGATATTTCATCACTTTAAATATTATTAGTTTGTTTGAGCACCTTACATTTACCCCCTTGGTATTGAGATAAATAAAGTATTGTTTATATACTTATAGTCTACAGTAATCAGTATATAGGTGTACTTGTGTTTAAAATTTATATCATACTGGTAGATAGTGGCTATTCCTTATTTAAACACTTCACCTTATAATTCACAATGTTTTGAAAGACAATTTTAAAACAGAAAAAACAATTACAAGACAATCACGCCAGGATTTGGAAAAAATGAAACCTTATTTTTTCCAAACAATTATGTACAAGTTTTAACTAATCTGTCAAGGTAGAATTTTTCTTAATCAAATCATCAAAGAGTGAAAGCAGCTCTAAACTACAGCCCCATTATTTTCAGACTGCTAACAAACGTGTTTGTGTTTGGCCAATTTATAACCTCAACGAGACCACATAGTCAAGGTGGGCCAGAACAGTTTCCCAATTTCATCAATTTTCAATTAAACTTCCACATGCATATAATCAGAAGTTTTCTCAAATCATTTCACATCAGTTTGTTTGTCAATTTTCTAGTTTCATCCAGAATTTAGAATTCTATCAATACTATCTAATTTAAATTAATTGAAGAAAACATGTCTTATTATCAAATCATTTAACATTTCATCCTGTTTATTAATAAAACATGAATCAACTTTAATTTAATCTTATTTCACATGACATTTCCATGTTCAACCCACCAATATGATTCACTCTTATTGAATAATACAGGTCTTCCATATGAAATTACCAATTCCAATTTCTTGGAAACACGTTTTACACAATAATTCTATTCCTTCTTCTGTATCTTACTGTTAATTCTATTCCTAATATTAATGATATGTCGAGATTAATTTCACTGTTTGTAGAATTATAACAAGTAAACAGTCATATAAGATTATTCTCAAAATTTATAGAGTATTCAAGTATCTGCAGAAAGAGTAAGTGCTATCTGTTTCTAAATCTTTATTCTTGTCATAAGATTACACAGACCATATAATACTAAAAACTTAATTAACAATTCGTCCACTTAGGTCACACCATACCATTGATTATTTATTAGGACTTACATTTACTTACATCTGAAGTTGCAAAAACTCTGATGACGTGTAAGGTTTCATGCCAATTTCACAACAAAATTTGATAAAATGAGTGAAATACAATTTTTCAGAGAGATATTTTAAGAAATCATGTTTAGTTTGAGAGGACATCACAAGTTCAGTATTGTTGAGGACTGACAGAAAATGTGAAAAAATGATAGCTACAGACATGAACAAGTCTTTCCTCTACAAATCTAACATAAATATTTAATTTTCTTCTTTACAAAAATAAATCATTGTGTATTGTAGTCTATAAAAAGGGGCATCATTAAAAAGTGAATTATTAATGTTTATAACATGTGGTATAGCTCTACTACACAATGTCTTCATGTTTTAACTCAAGTCAGTACTTTCTGCTATTAAGACTTCTAAAAATACAAAATTAACTATCACAAAATTGAGATTCACATCTTTAGTTAATCTAGAGAAATACCATTGCATTAAATTATAATATATTTGCATGTTATTAAAGTTGGGTAGCATTTTTGCTTTTTAGTTTACGCAGTACATGAATAATTTGGTTCTTTCATGTATCTTGTACTGAAGGTAGTTGTAAACTATGTAAAAAAAAAAGAATATATCAAGATAAGTAAATTACACATACTTGACAATGGCTAATCCTTGTGATGTACCAGCTAATTTTTGATAATGTTGTATCACTCTATCTTCACTGAAATAAAAAACAAATTTTTACTTAAATATTCATCACTAGAACTGAAATCTACTAGATGTCAAGGTCTCAAATACGGTACTCTTTTTTAAGAAAAACATTGAGCCAAAAACAGTTTGTCTAGAATAATCACAAGACAAGAAAGAATCAGAATATACTGTAAATGGAATTTTCTGTGTGAGTTCAAGTTATCTGCTATTTCAAATGTGACAAAGTAAGATTTACTATTCAAGAGAAAGTTGATGCAGACAGTGATAATATTGACATGTAATATTAACCATATTTACCACAATTACATACAACATCAATATAATGTCAGATACTAGAGTCAAATTGGTTGATGGATTTGAAAGAGACCTTCACATCATATCATAGCAAATTATTATACCCAGCTAGACTGGAACTTATTAGAATTGATGTAGATATCATAAGAGATTAAATGAAAACACAAAAACTGAAAAAATTTGACTGTAACTTCAAAACTGAAAAACCCCAGAGCTATTGTATATAATTCATTATATGTCAGTCAGATGTGCTGATTAGAAATAGCTGATAAGCTCTCAGTAAAAGATTCTTATCATTTGGTTTGTGACTTTTTATCACTTAATGATGATTTTGGTTAAAGAACCCAATAGATCAACCTGACAGTAAGCCATTTTATAGTTGACAAATAGGTAGATGTGGTCTTATTACCATAATAAAATCTTTAACATAGTTCACAATGAAGATATTGAAGGAGTTTAATAATATATAGCTGGTAAAAGTGAAATGATGTGAGAAGATTAACCCAGATTATAAGATGTATTGGCAGTAATATCCTACATCTTTGACAATATTACATTAGGATATATCAGACATCTACTGATGGGGAAACAAAAATCTTCTCTTGGAAGGCAAAAGAAAATAGAAAGTTCATGTCTAGTGACAAGCATTCTATTTCAATCATTTTAATATACAGTACCTATAGTTTATGTACTTAAAATTCAAATATTGAGAATCAAGGTCAAAAGTTTTCAAAAAATGTTAATCATATAATATGGCAAATTCTTTCAAGTTCAATGAACTTTAAAAATTGTATTTCAATATGGTTTATGTAGCCATTATGTGGACATATGTATCTAAAATTTCAAGACCTTACATAAAGAAATGGTTTTAACACACTGCCAGAAACCTATATACATGAAACAGTTTATCGGCTTTCCAGGTACACTGTTTTAATATAAGTGGTTTAAATTGTTTTTCAGGTAAGTTTGAAATTTAAAATCTGGAACATGTGAGCTAATTAACCATCTCAGTTCAGGTAAAATAGTTAAAAAATACTCGCAATAATCTGACATGTTAATTACTTTACTACCAGAATCTCTTACCAACTCTTTCCAAATCTTTTTACTTTATGTAGAGTTACTAGGTAAATCTTGTTGTGAATAATGTCATTTTGATGCGTTTTTTACCTTTGAATTCTAGATATAGCAATGATTTGTTTTAAAGAGTTCATTAGATTTAATACAGAGGATGAACTTCAAAATAAATAAATCTTAAATATTTCTATAATAAATTACTAGCAATATTATATTTGTTTAGTAATTTGTGTAGTTTTAAGGTAAAAGAAATTTATACACCATTACACTCAAGTACTTCTACTAAAATAAATATGTTTGAAGTTTTATCTTGACTACAGATATCAAGCTAGTTAGATTAAAAACATCACTGAAAGCTTTTTCAACATATTCCACCCAATAATTTTATATTACTTAACATAGACCTTTTGATTAAAATAATTTTCTTGGCATCTTGGCAAGTTGAATTTTTTTTTAGTTTTTTTGCTTTGAACTACATTCTGTTGTATTTATTGTACCTGTTTCTAAAAGTTATTTCAAATACCTAGAATAGCCGATGTAACAAGTGCTCAAGCACTCGAAGACTTATCTGACACCTGCAAATTTATGAAATTACGATTTCATGTACAAACAAAACAATAACTCCTAATCAGTTTGGAATTTCCTGCAATCTAGTACCAATACAACATTCACGAAGAGAATTTGAAAGATAAATGCAGACAAGAATTGGTAGTAAAGGTTATAAAAAACATGAACATTATGAGAAAGGAACCTGGGTAATGAGATGACTAAAAAAGATTGAACTTTATGTGCAAGATCTTGGCAAATGCAAAAGTTACACGAAATCATGAAGAGATTAAAGCTTAACAGGAATTCTAGGTTAAGTAACATCCTGGGTGTCTTGAATGTTTCCACCCATTATGGGTGTGTAGAATAGAAATATTTAAGATAAAAAGTTGTATGTGAAATGTTATTCATCAGTTGAAATTCACTCCTATTGAAACCTGTAGTGCAAGAGTAAAAAATGTAGGAAATTGTGACATTACTATTTATCACGTCCTTTTTCATCTATACTAATGTTTTGTTCATGACTTCCTTTCTAAAACTATAACAAGTGGTTTCTGGTTAATTATTTCAACATTGACAAACCTTAACAATAATACACACCATTAACCAGTACTAATTTTCAAATTTTTTCAAATAAATAAAATGTTGATGTTTAGTATGCATGTTATTGATCAATAGATAAATGCATCATAAACCTTCTGGACAATAGAACCAACTACTCTATTGTTTAGAGTAAGAAATGATATTGACAGGTCAAACAGCACTCTTTGTCTATTATGACTTAGTCTTTGTATCACAACGAGAATTGTTAAACAACTTTTTTTTTTCAAAGCATAGATACCTCTTTATAATGGCAAAATAATCTATCTATCTATCACCACGGTAATTTGTATTTAATGCTAGATAAATTGAAATTGTAGCTAAAGAATTAAGGAATTGATAAAAAATATTTGAATTTAACGATAAAGACAGGAAGCCAGACAGAGTGAGGTCTACTTGTAATCAAGCTATTTAAGACAACTTCTTATCAATCAGAAAGAAGAGGAATGTTATTGTAACTTGTCATAAAAAAGTACATTGGAGTCTTAAAGAAATAAAGAAATTGAGAAAAGAAACAAAAGTCTTTTGATTCCCTCACAGAGAGAAGACAGAATTAGTTCTTACACAGGCTCTGTCTATATTCAACAAGGCTACATTATTTCAATGAATACAAAAATCATTCAGCATGTTACTGTTAGACATCAGATAGTCAGACATTAGATAATTTTCAAATCAATCATAATCTGGACAAAAGATGAGTATTGTTTAAACAATATTAATTTACAAAATCATACATATGCTATAGATCAATGTTGGTTTCAGAAACAAGCCGAAGCTTATATAAATCTGTTACCAATACGAATATTTACAGATGATAAAAGTATAATTTACATAATATAGGAGTTGACAGCAGCGAAATGTACATTGGAAACAAAACAGGAAGTGACAAACATATTTACAAAAGGAAAGGGAATAGGGCCTAACAAATTCATTGGTGAATAAAATGTTATTGATAATGACAAATGAAAATAGTTGAGAGGGGATGATGGTGTTTATTGTTAATCAAAATAAAATAATCTTCGTTTTAAAACAGAGGCCATACTTCGACAGCGTTAGCTAGGTGTCAAAACGTTTTGTAGATGATATAAAGTTATGAACAGTTTGAAAGATATACAGATTTGTTTCTAAAGATAATTTTGGATTGCCGTTAAGAAGTGTTAATATGCAACGTAAATGAATAGGGAGAAGATTAATTGTATTGTTTCGTTGTTTTGAAAAGTTGCGACAGTAGAGAAGAAAGTGTTCAGAATTTTCAAAGGTGTGGCCGCATGAACAGGATGGATTGTCGGATATGTGCATTAAGAATTTGTGAGCGTTTAGTTGACTTTTATCATGACGTAGTTTGGTATGTATTATTTGTGATGGACGGTCGCCAGAGTAGAAATATAATGGTACAGAGGATTTTGAAGTGAATTTTACAAGCAGGGATTTAAGCTGAGAGAGGGAAGAAGAATTACGTATTGAGTCGGGCAGATTGTTCCAGATTTGTACAGTAGATGGGAGAAAAGATGATTTGTAAGCTACAGTGTTCCATGGAATAGTGCGAAAATTGTGCTGCTTCTGATGGGGTAAGGGTTTACAATCGAAATATGAGGTGGTACCAGAATTCTCAGATATTGAGGTGTTAAACCATTAATCATTTTATAAAATAGAGTTACTTTGTGACAAAAGCGACGATCGGTTAAACTTGAGAAGCCGGACTCTTTGTATAAAACTGAGTGGGAAGTTCCCCGAACAAGACCTGTTATAGTGCGAATTGCGTCCAAATTGATATTTTCTAATTTAGTTTCATCTTCTTTTGTGCAATTGTTCCATAAAACATCAGCATAATCAAATATTGGTAAAATGAATTGTTTGTATATAGTTTCTAGAGATTTCCTGGAGAGTCTGTATCTTAAGCTTCGAAGGCAATCGGTCATTTTAGAAGTTTTGGAAATTAAAAAATCAATATGAGAGCTCCACGAACCAGACTTATCAAAAACTACACCTAAATGTTTATGCTCATTTAAAACTATATGACTATATATAAATTAAGAGTAAAAAGCGACGGTTCATGTTTCCTGGAAAAAGTCATGCATTTAGTTTTATGAGGATTAAAATTTACTTTCCACTTGATAGACCACATGTGAATCAAATCTAAATCATGGTTAAGGGTGTTTCGACACCCCACTTTATCGTCAATTCTGAGATAAAGTGAGGTGTCGTCGGCAAAGAGACGAATGTTTGAAGTAATGTCTTTAGTAATATCATTAATATAGATTAAAAATAATAGTGGTCCTAAGACCGATCCCTGAGGAACCCCTGCTTTTAAAAATTGGCATCTTGAAGTCGAGCCTTTAATCACAACAGATTGGTTTCTATGTTCAATATAATTTTGTAAAAGTTTTAGAAGGTTGCCTCGGATTCCAATAGAATTCAGTTTATGTGTAAGACCTTTCAACCAGATTTTGTCAAAAGCACGACTAATGTCTAAAAATACCATCTTAATTTCTTTCCCCATATCTAAAGTTGATAAAATTTGATCATATATGTCAATCAATTGAAATACAGTTGAATCTTGTTTCACAAATCCAGACTGAAATTGAGACAAGATGCGGTTTAGATGAGTATAGATTATATTTTTAGTAGGTGGTCCTTGTCATTCCATGCAACCTTTCTTGTATTCCTTATTGTTATTACACATACACTATGAATCATACTTCACTTTGAAAATTTAAATTTATCAGAAATAATGTGTGTATTATTCATGAGAGAATTACCACCAATCATTTCAATTTAACTCAACTTTACATTGTTATCTTGACTTTTTAAACCAATCTCACAGAATTCTAAACTGTAAACATGTTGGAATTTGTTCTTATAAACATAGAATCTATTTTCAATGTTTAACTTAAAAGTATTTACTCGTTGTCTGTATGTGCTTCTTGACAAGATAATTTATAAAACAATATTTCTTGTTCAAAAATATTTATTTGGTATAAAAAAACATGGTAACTTGGAAATTACTAGGGCATTTGTTGACCATTTACCATTGATGCCTGATCATATTGAGATCTATCATTATGGAGGTCAATGGTGAAATTCCAACTGTAATCACAGTTTTAATTTATAAACATATCATAAAAAGAAAGCTTCTCAAATTATTAGCAAAAAGCAAACAGTTTCTATTTTTATCTGAAAATGCTCAATTTAAAGGTTACATAATTTCTTGTACTTACCAATAACCAATAGAGGGATGTTCTTTTAAAACAAATGTTGGTATAACTGGTAATTTCTTTAACTCATTTCTTGTTTCTTCTTCACTGTAATAGATAAAACAATTATCTTACTTTTACATCTTGTATATCAATACAGATTCTTATGTGTTGTTGTTTATTTTCAATTTGTTAAAGAGTAAAATTATATCCTTGGGATATTCAGAAGAAACTACAAAGGACCAGATCCCTTATATAGCAGGTTGCTCTTGAGGTTGTTTTGAGTACATGCACTAAAACAAACTCTATACACTAGTAATAGCTAGAGTTGAATTTATACATTTTTCATATTGTGTTTTTTACCTTTTTTAACTAGAATTTCAGTCAACATGAATACATTCACTATCTCTTAATACACTTGACTATATTCTCACAGGAAAATACACCAAATTGTTGACTTTACCACAATACTACAGACTCCATAGCACTTACTGTATTGTAACATTTTGTTAACATAACCTAACTAACAGGCTATTAGCAACTCAATGACAATATCAACACTGTTTTTTCTCACTCCAACTTCCATTTTTACCAGGCTTAGTTACTTTGAGTTGTAAAGATTGAATAGAATATTTAGTCAAAGATAAAGAGAACCTTTGAATGATGTTCATGAACACTCACAAAACTTAAGTTCAAAGGTTTCGATAATTACAATCCACAAAACTGTCCTTATGAATGAAAAAATCAAATCATGACACAATCAGTAGGCCAACCTTCATTTCAATACAAAAATTGAACATAATATTGAGCCATAAGACTGAATACAGTTCTCTTACAATCAAATACCTTGAATAGAACTTGACTGAATCAAAACAAAGTCAAAAAAATATTCCCCCTATTCATTAAAGAACAAATTTTGTCAAATATTGGTCAAATATTGGCCGAACTGCAGAAGAAGAAAGATATTAAAGTCTAAAATTTGTTCTGTATGACAGGGCATCACTTGATGCCAGTAAAATAACATTGACATTAACAATACAAAAACCTACATCCAACATTTCACAAAACCTGAAACTTAATGAGATTGAAAAGGGAAATAATGGTATTTGGCATTTCGATACAAATCAGATAATAAAATTAATTTCATCCCATTGCAATTTGTTAAGAAATTAAAAGTGATATAAAACAGCATAAGGATGCTTGTATTATTTATGAAGTATCAACCTCTCTCTAATTAGATCACGTCCATTCACTGAATGTGAAAAAAGTTTCCTTAAAAATACAAGAAATTGCAACTGGCCTTACAAATATTTCACCAAGATCTGATTAATAAGTCTAACATTAAAGCATTCTGTTGTGGTAGCACAAATTGACTTTGGTTTGACCTAAGCAGTGACCTGACTTCTCTATAATGCTTGAAATGACAATCTTTGATGAAGATGCCTGTTGGTTATATCAATAAACCAACATGATGTGATAACTTTTATCATGTAACAATAACTTAATCTAACACTATTTCAAATAGTTTGGTACTCAAAGATATGTTTTATCTTAAAATATGGTATTAAAAAACCTACAGGATGTATGTTTATGATAAATTAGAATACAGACCACAAAAAAATGCAGTTATGATTATAAACAAATGTAGTCTTTAGACACTGAAGAATTGAGGGAAAATAATGATTTGAACGCAGGCGAATGTTTCATTACCAGAATAATCAGAATGCTTTAAGAATCCACTCTGTTAAAACAGCCTCAAGTACTGGTTTTATCCTTTTTAAAACCAAATCACTTATTTAAATGTAGTCTTATATTTAAAACAATATGTGACACTGTTGATATGATAATGATATGATATGAATTAACAGGAAAAGATCTACGTTTGCAAAATAACCTTTCCACAAGAGATAATAAATAAGAAAGGCTTTATCCAAAGCTTAACACAAAGAATAAACACTGACATTACCTTTTCAGAGAATACAGTTTAAGATGAATAATCCAATATGTCAGCTAACAACTGTAGCCTGTACTAGAATTTCAATAGGAAACAGAGAGACTATGATATATAAGAAATAAATATAATATAGTAATGTATAAGTTATGTTATTGATGAAAGGTACAGATAAATCATTGAACCATGGTTTGTTAGATCAATCAACTATCAGATCTTATCTTTCTACCAGATATATTGTAAGAGCCATTTCATTGGTTAATACAAAACAATGACTAATGAAATGGAAAGGATTTCCAACTATGTGAATAAAAATCACTGATAAAGATTAATCTGAAGATAATTATAATAGAGATGTCATTTTACTCACTTATATGGTAGTTTTTCAAACTGGTTCACCATATGAATTTTCAATGACTTAATACACTTTTAAAAGAACCCCAACAAAAACAAATTTATCCATTCATATGCACACTTATTATATTACAAACATGTATTATCACAAACCACAACAAGACCTTGTTTGGTGAAAATACAGTTTACAAACAACAATTTATTTTTTTGACTGACTTCATTTCAAACATAAATTTTTAATATATCCTGTATGATTGTAAAACAGTAGTGAAATCTCTACTTGTGCCATTTATTTTCGGCAGACTACCAAACTATACACTGGTAATAAAATAGGTGATATTTGTTGACATAATAAAATGTGAAGTGATAGTAGAAGATGATGGTAGAAGAAAACCAGAGAAATATGGTAGAAAGATGAACAAATTAAAGATCATGTAAACAACAAGTGACCTTTTACTACAAAATCTTTTACCTCTACTCTTTTGTCCTAAACTTCGATGTTGAAATCCTCCAGGGACCCAATATATCTTACATTGTACAGGGTCAAGAAATAAATGTACAGAAGACTATGAGCTGCTTATCAAATTGGTTATAAATAGATCCTCAATCCTTCAAATGTTATTTACCAACTCTCAAGAGGCATCAACATGTAGTTTAAAGGGGATCAGCTGATCTCTATTTAAATCGGTCTTGTTTGAGAACACTACAATTTCAGTCAGGAAATGCTGACACATACATGTACTTGAAAAAAAATTAAAATCTTCCTGGTTTAAAAGTAAGTTTACAACAGGGTTGCAACTTTCATTTTCAAGAATAAAAATAATGCAGCAGTTTGTCAAAAATTATTGAAATAAAACTTATTGTAACCTTTTTTCTTTTGCAGTTTTCAAATCACGCAGAATTGTCAGGATATCATGCACTGCAGACTTTATCTTATTCATGGCAATTTTGAGGTTGTTAAAAAATAACTAGCAAGCTCATGATAGATTTGTAACAATAAGTGAGAAACTGTTGGAAAGGTGACAAAAAGTAATTACATGCCAGTCAATCCGATGTTATTGTTTTGGGTAAGAAAGTGTGAGATGTGGTGTGTAAGTGTGTGTGTGTGATATTATAATAGTGTGATATAACAGTAACCTACATAATACCATATTATCTCATACTAATACAATCTCTTTCACTTTTCATATTACACATCTTTAAAATCTTTATACCACCATAGTTATATTTCCTTCATATATAATCCTTTTTATATTATAAGATTATCAAATCCCTGCTTTATAAAATTTGTTTTTACTCCATTATACATTAAATATTGTTCATCTTTCAATACAAATATTACATAGATATGATAATAGGCCTATCATCATTCATAAAGACTAACTTTCAAGTTTTCCATAAAAAAAACTATCTGATATTTGATCATTAAACATATTAATTCAAATAGGAAATCTTCATAACTCAAATTTATCACATTAATAATATACATGCAAGATACAAAATTGACATAAATTTCCCAGTTTCTGGCAGACATCTTGTACTTTTCATAAGCACAAGTTACAGTTGTGTTAGATCATTGTTGTCCCATGGTTTATCAACAGAAATGGGAACTATGCCTAATGTTAGTTAGTTTTGCTTAAGTCTATGCTAACCCTATGTTAGTTATCACCCATTGCTTAACTCTATGCTAACGGATTTTCAAGTGGAATATTATAATTTCGGTCTTTTTACATATTATCAAGACATGATAATTAGAAATTGGCGCAAAATATAGTTATATTACATAATCTTACTGTTAATTCCCAATCCTTGGCATTATATATTCCTAGAATACTAACTGAATAAATGATAACCTAGAGAGTTACTGCTATCAATAGACAACTATTACCACCTTACAGTAAATACTCTCTACTATATAAAACTAGATTAGTCTATTTATATTCTAGAGGGTGACCAACACCTAACTTTATATACTCAAGTCTTATAACATATACTAAAACCTGCATTTCAGGGTTTACAAGAAAAAAAAATTCCTCCACTTCTGACATTTAGTAAAATCAAATATTACCTCATTTGTTTGAATACAGAATTTGACAGAATACAAGGTGTTTATGTATGACATTAACAATACTCAAATTGATCAAAACTTTAAAGTTGCATTTACATCTATGTAGTGTAAAATCTATATAATCAAAGTGGAAAGTGACTGATCTGAATAAATCAAACCCAATGATAAATATAGGCCAACATTCAATAAAGCTGAAAATTGTTTCTCTAAAAATATGTCTTCACTTGCTACTTTCTGACCTCTGTACCAGTTGTTTGAAATTGAAATTAAGAGTTATCATAACACAATGTAAACTTATCTGTACTATTTTGCCATAGATATTTCAGTGCAAATTTAAGTAAATAGTGTAAACTATGTGGTTGCAGAGTGATATGGCACACAACAGTGGAGTTATATCTTATTTTTTCTATATACAATAAACAAAGTACACAAGTCGATAAAGAAACACCCAAGTTGACAAGTATAGTAAATAGCAAACCAAATGCTTGTAAAATTTTATGTTTATTTTTAATGAATGAAGAATATACAATAGTTTATATAAGAAAGATTTCAAGTTAACGCCTTTTAAATTGTAAGAAACAGCTGTTTATAGAAGGACATTATATTAAAACTGAAATCTGTATCAATTTAAAAACAATAACAAGCCCAATTCTATCATTTTACATTAAGTCAAACTCATTTTCCAAAGGTAAACAAGAAATTCCTTCAAAGGGAATCCATGGATGAGTCGGAGTG